CGATATAAAATGATGAATGCCGTTCATTGTGTGAAAAGGGTCATTAGAGTGGTTTCTCAATGAGGCATGAAAGTAATAGGCTTCTCTATAGATCTTGCCTTGAAAGTATTCAAGCCAATAATAAATGAATGTTTAGCCTATGTAATACGATAATAGTGACAGAGAGACCAGTTTGCAGTCTGAAGGGTTTAATATTTAATTTTTATTTTTTTAAGTTCATCCATCCATTCTCTTCCACTTATCCTTTTCAGGGTGGCAGGGAGCGAGAGGCAGGGTGCACCCTGGACAGATCACCAGTCTGTCACATTAAAAAAAACAACCATTCACACTCATGGGCAATTTAGTCCCCACTATGGGAGGAAACAGTAGTACCCGGAGAGAACCCACACAAACACGAGGAGAACATACAAAGTCCACACAGAAAGTCCCTGGCCTGATGGTGGAATTGAACTCAGGACCTTCTGGCTGTGGGGCAACAATGCTAATCCCCCCCTTTGTAGTCATACATATGAATTAGTTTAGCTTTAACAGCAAAGGCCAGTTTTTGCCTTGTATGGCTTTTAGCTCTATATATAGCAAACATCTGATGATAAAAGTTGATTATAGGTTGCTTTGGCGAGAGGACTCTCAAAATCTTAGTATAAATAAACTGTTACTTACAGCTGCCTAATAAATTTATTCTCATATCAAGACATCTTTTTTGAAACACACAGTTTTAACATTAAGTGTCATTTGTGTACCAAGAAAGGTCACACGCAACTTCACAAATATCAGATGGAAATCCTGTTGGCAGACCATTTGTTTAGCAAAAGGTTTCTTCATCTCAGGCCTCTAGCATGTTCTAACATGTTCCTCTAGTACTTTTCCTATAGTAATAATTTCCTGGTTCTAGTAATCGTTGGAGGTGGTACCGCTTTTTTTTTTTCTTTATCTGCACCAGAGGATCTAAGGACCAATGTGGTTCCTAAAAGTTTTAGAGGTTTTTACTTTAGAGTACCTACTCTGCAGAAGATAAAGTCCAGGCTTTCGTGAGCTTGGACTTCAGTGCAAGGAAATGCAACAATTCCCTACAGCTTGTTTGAAGGGAATTGCTGTGGTTGGAATAGTTTTGCATTTCCAACTATTAGACAGCTATCACTTCACTCCAGAGCTCCTGGAAGATGTACAAATAGGAATAAGTAGTCCCTCTTTGCACCAAAAGTGGCGCATTGCACTTAAACCATGCTCCAAGTCCACTGCTTAAGCAAAGCGGACTGGGAACACATGTCAAGTTAATGTGAAGTTAAATTAAGCCAGCAAATGAATTGCAGACCAACAGTATCTATTGGTCCATGTATGGATACAGACCCTAAACATGCAAGTAGCATCCGACATATGGGCAGTGGATGCTGCTCAGCAGCTATTATTAGAGCTTTAGTTACATATTATGACAGCAAAATGAAAGAAATGCATGTGACTGTGTGCTGCGTAAGCTGACCTGTCAGGAGTTATTAAAAGAAAGCCAGCTGGTTTTTTGTTGCCTCTTACTTAACAGAGTTTAGTTGCCTGGTTGGGAGTTGCCTACAGCACACATATCTTGGCATCCTTTCAGTTGGACATCATTTTAGTGTGATCCAGGATCAAATACGAGCTAAAGTCAGCTGGTGTTGTGTCCATGCTTTCAACAGTGAACAAAAAAAGGAAACAGAGTGAATGATGTCAATGTGAAAAGTGTAAATATGTGAAATAATGAATTTTTGCTTTTGCATTTGGACCAGAGAGGTCTGTAACATGAGAGTGGCCGGTCTTGCTAAGAAAAGGCAGACGATCCACGTCACTGGCCAAGTCCGTAGGGGCACGATATTCAGAGGGCAACGAAAGTCTGTGTAGTAAGCAAGGCAGACATACTGGGATGCTTTTCAACTCTAAAGTAGGTCAGTAAACATATATTCGGAAAGAGGGACTCCAAACCTCTAACCGGTCTGTGAAATGTCTTGCGTGCTCTGATTGAGAGGAAAAGAGCCGGTTGAGAAAATAGTCTGGTCAGTTAAAATTGGCTTTTTAAGGAAAAGGATTAACTAGTATAAATCTTCCCAAATTCCATTTCACCCAATATGAAAACAGTCATATAAAACCCCATACACATACATGTCCAAGGACAGAGTTCTAAGCAAATTGAGATGCTGCTCAGTACCTACAAACAAACTTCACTAGTTATGGTGCAGATGTTTTAGGTTTATTGCATGCTGAATGTTAGTCATACAATATGAGGGGCCGTACAAGCCAAACTTCATTCTTTCACTCTCACACACATACATTCTTC